AAATTTTGAGATGACGCTGTGATTTGAGATTATCGTTGTATTATTTTTGCAAGGCGCGAGATCTGCTGTAAATGGGACGTGTATGTGTTGGACATTTTTAAACAACCTCTTCGAGACAAAAGTAGTCTTACAAAGAAGCACAGAAACATAATTCTGATAGCTCTATTACAACTGTGAAAATTACTTCCTGCCTTTTACTCATTTTATTCTCGCTGTCTTGCCGGTCTAAAAACTCGTTATCGGCCCCGCTTTTCTTCATATTCTATCTCCTACTCTTTCTTGCACATAGTTATTTTAACTGATACTAATGTGAAGTAACGGACACCTCGTTTACATAATCAACCTGCATGATAACTTCGAAATAGCCATAATACAGCACAAATGAGCCGCAATGGGATGAAAGCTTTTCTAACGCTTCACTGCTTCGCAGATTCGCAATAGGCTTGCTTGGGCCCATTTCAGTAGTTTCATCTCACATTACTGGTGCACGTTCTGGGAAAAAAAAAAAAAAAAAACAAGCCAGCGAGTTTATCCCCTTTATATAGTATCGCAGTATTCCCCAAAGGTATGTTCAAAGGTAGATTTTATAGACTTGAATGCGGGGCGTTCGTGTCGAATATGCATAGAAAAACGAAGAACAAAAAGTTGAACTCTCTTGCGTGTAGCTTCGAGGGTCTCAATAATAAAGTAGCCATATATTTCTTTATTTTTTATAAACGTAAGCGTAAAATCAAGAGACAAAGCCGTGACTACGTATGTTTTGGTGAAAGATATACAGTACAATAATTGCTGCACCAACTTTTATACTTCCATTTTCACGTGTTATCTACGTCACTCGAAGAGTGAAATCGCTCATACTGGCTTACGCACAGAAAACAGCTTACAAAACATCATGAACCCCAGTACATAGAGCACGTGGTTTTTGTTTAGGTTATATAGGGGGTGGAGGTCTAAAAGAAACAAAAATACGCGAATGTTTCCCATTGTCCCTTGTAGTATTCAGAAGCACCACTTCGTTCGAACGTGCGTGAATAAAATGCTGCGTGAAGCAATGGCAGTAATTTGAAACTTTTGTCGTACTTTCGCGAACACCACCCCCAGCTCCCCCCCCCCCTTCCTTGTCACCTAAGAAAACAGAGAAAAGGTTACAAAAAAGGCACAGAAATAATAGCAAATACTGTACTCATACTCGCTAATGGAGACACAAACAGTCATAACATATAAAAAGGAGCAACTCTATGAAAGAAAGCAAACGGCAATAAAAGATGGGGAATTGTACAGGGGGGGGGGGGGAATTCCATATTCCATTCTTTGACCGAGACACATATTGCATTTCGTACAAACTGCTATTACAGCTGCCTCGTAGAGGCCTCGGTGCAGTCGATAAGAGTGACCTGGCAACCAGAACGGAGTAATCAGGCGAAGTGCAGCCGTGGTGGCCGCTCTGGGGCAATATGAATACAATAGGCGGCCGCGTGGTGCGACGGGCCATGCCGAGCCTCACGAACCGACCAGCCGTCATGGCACGGGAGCCGGCCCGTATACGGTACAGTATTGCCGGTCCCTGCGGTGGTGGTGATGGTGTTGCGGCGGCATCGCACGCCGATTCCTCCCTGCGGTGCCGTTGCTACCGAAGCGCGGCGCATTGGCTCGGCATGACTGAGCTCGGCTTGGCTTGGCTCGGCTTGGCTTGGCCCGGCCGCTCTCGGCGTCGTTTCGCTGCAATAGAGCTACCGCCGTGCCGACGTTTCCTTGACAGGCTGGGCCTTTCATTTCGCTCTCACCATTTGTTCTCGGTACACTCAGCTTGGGCCACAGTGTGGCCAGCTTTTGCTGAGCGCCCAGCCAGCCGTGAGTAGAGATGTGATTGAGTGCCCAAAGCCTGGTTTGGGAGAGAAGCCGCGGCAAACTACTTTTTTTTTTTTTCAGGAGCTGGAAGTTTTGTGATCGCAACCTACTATTCAAAGCCACTCCAAGGCATCGACCTTAATTGTTGCTGCTACCGATAGAGGCACTAATTTAAGCATAGCTCTCACCACAGAGAATGTATTATTCAGTAAACCTGCGTAGGCGCGAGCACGTTTCTTTTTTATGTACCTCTAGAAGAGACGCAGCCTGGCATTTAGTTTTCCCTTCCATAAAAGAGGATGCCATTACTTACGCCTTGCCGTGCATGCTCAGGAAGTTTTTCTGCTTTGTTACGTGTTTTGTTCGTCCCTCCTTTCTAGTTCACGGTAACCAACACATTTCGGCCCGAGTAATCTATTTGCTTTGTCTTTATAACACGCTCAATTTTTCTCTCCTTTGTTTCTGCTCGTGTTATTTTCTGATGTGGAACTTCGCCGCTTATCGCTGTACTTCAATGTGGTATCGACGCTGTTCTTCGGTTTTCAAGCTTTTTGCAGGAGTCTTCGAAAGAAATTAGAATTTGAACTTTTAATCGATGGGCATTTAAGTTGTTTGAATAATACAATACTCACAACGGCTCATAAATAAAAATGGTCGTACTTTGAATGAAACAAATGTACATAGGCGTGTTTATATTTGACGCATGTGTCTATACGTCGCTTGGAAGCCGTCTGCCAATGTTCGGCACAGCATTTGTGTAGGGAGGACGAGTTACATACTTGGAATGTTGGTATTTTTGTATGTGCGTGAAAATGCACACTATTTCATGGTGCGTATGCACGAGCTACGTCTGAACTTCTGGCCGCAGACAAAGTGCTATTTATTATATGGCTTTCTTAAACTACCAGTTGCACTTAATGCATCTTCTGAACGATAGAGAAAAAAACGTAAACCACAAAGATGACAATATCAGACAGGACACTACGCTACGTTTAGTTCACCATTCGAATTTCTTTTTACTTGCACTGCTCTTGCAAATACGGAATACCATCACATTCGAAACTTCCTTGTCTTGAATTTATTTAAAAAAACTTGAGCGCCACAGGCTCAAATAGAGCGCTGCTGTGATATTGAGAAGCTTACATGACAGATCTATTCTCCACACTCGTGGCTCATTTGAATCGAAGGGTTTTTAGAGGATCACTTTGAGTGTGGTCGTCTGAATTGCCGTGCTCCGTCGCACCCGTTTAATTATTTCGCTCGACAGAAGCTGAGAGCCCGGCTCGATAATTGAGCGTACCGTATGTTTTTGTTCAGTTGTTTTGTTTGTTCGCAACGCTTGCACACAAAGACGGTTGGAGAGCTCACAACGTCCCAAATTTTCTTCGACTGCGCCTTGTTTTTTATGTGTGTGCCTTGACTGCTCTTCAAAACAAATCGCAATTCATGGAGCTCTAAAAAGATTTGCCTTTGTATTACCCGTATTTATACACGCAGCATACAATACACGGTTGTTGATTATTTGCACTGAATTTTTCTGCAATGTGATCTTAAAGTTCCAGAAATGCAATCATGTTCTGGATGTCAGGACAACGGCGGAGTGTTTTATAAAACAGGCAACGCTGAGTTCTAAAAACACCGTCATACGTATTAATAAAGTGAAACTTAGGGGACCCTAAAGCTGCGACTTTAGGAGTTAACGCGATCGCGATATCCTGTTTGTAGTGCGTACTTCAAACACTTTGTGCATGAAACCTTTTTCGAATTTGCTGTGCACCCACTACGTAGCCTTAAGAGAATAGGCGCAGTAGTGTGCGTGCCTTTTGTATTGAGGTACCGGTTTTCAACCACGGAGTCATTATGATAATCACCTATTCTGATGCACGTTGGCAGTGGATACTTGTGCCACGCAATATTAATGCAATATTTCATGTTGCACTGTGAAACCTGTATACAGGACGCGTGTGTTTGTGAAGCACGTAAGTTGCTTTCACTGCATTCCCAAGCAGAGGAAGCTCTTTTCACTGTTTTTACAAGCAGAAGTGTGGCCGTATGGTAGCGCATCCCCTTGCCACGCCACGCAAACGACCCGGTTTCGATCTTCACTCGAACCCAAACAATCCTGGTTCAGTCCTCACTCTGCTACAAGGTCTTTTTATTATTTATTTAGTTTATTTGCATCGTTCTAGGATGTTGGGTTACGCATAAGATGACGTGTTGGGTGGCCAGGACACCCTCAAGCTGATTGTATCCGCTTTTTCCCCCTGGCTTCCCACAACACATCGTGTTGTAAATAAATAAATAAATAAAAATAAATAAATAAATAAACCATAAGTTTTCACTCACAACCGACGACGCCAATTCCAAAATTTCTGCTAAACAAGCTCTTTAACGCTGTCGCGCTAATACAGAACCTCGTATGAGAAGCAATCAAACAACGTGTCACGGGGTAAGAAGGTGCTTGACCACTGGTATGTACCCTGCACACAATGGATGCGTAAGCAGTAGAATAGCACCTGCTTGACAGTGAAGACAGAAGAGAAATAAAAACAACTTTATTTATCACCTTAAGGGAAAGGGGCTGCTAGAAGGTGAGGGATCCTACTCGCGCTTGACCATGCAGCTACACATTTTCCGCTACAACCTCGGCCCACCACAGAATAGGCTCCTGAAAGCCGGGGCTGTAGCTGCGCATGGCAGCCTCCCACAGCTTCCGACGACTTAGTTATTTACGGAGGCTCGGTGGGGATTTTTACTGTTGTCAAATATTATTTTCGTACACTGCACATCACCTTTTTTTTTCAATTGTTTTTCAACTCTCCTTGTGTTCTACACAAGAATAATCAAGAAGTTCGAATTGAAGTGAAAATCAGGATTGAGGTTTACTCGTGAGTAATTACCGCATAAAAGAAGACAGGAACGCTGAACGACTATCACCGCATATATTATGCGCTGCGTTGTTTCATCTTTATTGATGTTTGGGCCTGATACACCACCGTGGCGCTATATACCATCTTTCTCTTGTTTACAATATGTAAGTGATTGCCTTTAGATGAAAATATATAAGTAACCGCTTCGAATCGCTTAATGATAGTGAAGTTCGCATCTTATCCGCGACTAGTGCAAACCAAGACAGGAAAATCACCACTCACGATTTAGGTCCAGCGACACCGATGTGGACACAGGCACGGTCTGGTTGTTGTTGGAGGCCTGGCAGCGGTACGTGGCCATCAGGTCCGAACGCTGCAGTTTGCCTATGACGAGGTCATTGCGTACGACGCCTTCTCCCGCTGGCGAGTAAGAATCGTCAACCATCTCGCCACCGAGCCACCATGTGACCTGAGGTGGTGGCCGACCTGCGTAAACAAAGGACAAACAAACAAACGTTGTGGCTGGTAAAGAGGTAAATGACAAACACAGTGAGACGCAAGTGAGGGGCAGAGCATACCGCGATACGTGAATGAATGAAATATGTCAGCTGATTTGCATCAAATATATGTGATTGGAACAGCACGTTGATGGATGCTTCACTGGGCGGCGTATTTGATCTCAAGAGTACCATGACAACAATAAAGTTGCGTATGTTGGCGAAATATTCACAGAAGTGTAACTTAAAAACCAACGTCTGCATTGGTACTTTTACAACTACCTTCCTATATTTGGAGCACGCTCAATAATAATGAACGAGACGAATGAGCATAACGCATTTTTCGTGTATAATAGCTATATAAATAAAACATCACATGAAGTTATATTTGGCGTGATACCACACGTTCTGAACTGCAAAATATATAATATTTGAAGAGTGGCTCCTGAATAATAGCAAAAATACTTCTTGCTGCTGTGGCAATCAAGTTTCTTCGATGATAAAATTGAATAAATGTGGGTTTTGGCATTTTACTTATTGGCCTCCCACTGTTGTGTGCGGATATATGTGAGTATCTATACAAATCTATATTTGTATGCGTGGACTTTCATGGTTTGAAGTTGTGGGAAGGGAAATACCACAATGCGTTATTTCCTGCGTGCGTCATTCACTTATTAAGTTTGTGCGTTTTGTGCTCTTGATTTTGTGGAAAAAAGTTGCGACTAGAATAAGACTTTCCTGTAGAAGTAAGCCTTCTATGATCTTACTAGGGCGTGTAACGGTTGAATATTCGTCATACGCTGATAAAAATAGTGGAGTCAATAACTGCGACCATAATTTAACAAAAATAATTACGCAGAAAGAATGTTTTTACTCGAAACTTCACTGTGGACAAACCCTTTCGAATACCTAAACGCAAAGAATACTTAAAATGCAGCTACACATTTCACGCAGTTCTTGATAAATACGGATATCAAGTTTTCCTGGACAAGTGCAACATATAATAATCATGGAGACCACGCTGCGCAAGCATCTAGCTTGTACTTGTTTTCAGTATATGATATAAGAACAGATTAAAAACTCGGAGGGCGTTTGAGGTTCGCTTTCAAGAGTAAGGGCTGGTGCACACCGGTGACTAGCAGCAGTCGCGCGACCATTTGCGACTGGTCGCAAACGGTCGCAAAGCGACTGCTTTGGCTAGTCGCTTCCTGACCGATTTTTCAGTCACGCGACTGCAGTCGCAAAGCTGCTGAGACCAATCAGCGATGCTCAACTTTTGTTATTTTGTTTTTCATTGCGCTGGCTTCCTGCCGCCAGATGCAAACGAGTGCGTTACTCTGGGTCTGTGGCACCATAGCCACCACGGAATACTTGGCTTGGAGATGGCAGGGCGCAGCAGCTCGAGCAAAGTGTCAAATTTACGTGGCGGCATTCGTAAGAAGGTAAACACCGTCAAAGTAAAGAGAAAATAAATTGTGTACTATCTTTTCCCCGTATTCAGAAAAGTTTTTTTTTTCTTAAACTTCACTCGTCACTGCCTTCAATTCAGCGCGTTTGAAACGCGTTTGTGCTTCATGCCTTGGCAACGACTTAAGACACCGCGTTCGAGATGCGTGTGTGCTGTATTGTAGGCTGTGGCAAGACAATTGAAATTTAAGGACCATTTCTGAATACGTACGACTCTCGGAAATACTCCTCGTCGTCTCAGCGCAGCTCGGGAGGCAGGCGGCTTGTATGGCCGGCCAACTCTCGCGATCGAAAGGACGGTCACACCCACTACCGGCTTTTTTTTTTCTTTGGAGTCATCTGTGATGCTAGCACTGACACCATGGCACAGCACATCAGTACCATAATAATGTCTTGCTATTCGCTTGAATCAAACTTCACGCTGTTGGGAACGCTGTGTGAGAACGTGCGAAAACAATAAATGCAGTGCGTCCGGTTTGCTCCGCTCACTCAGCTGGCGGTGATCAGCTGATCGGCGGCGGTCTTTAGAGTTCTCACTGGACTCTCCGCTTTTGCGACTTCCGGTAGCTCGCATGCAGCCCCTGCCGGTGTGAACACCAGTCGCTTTTTGGTCGCCAGTCACAAATGGTCGCGCGACCGCTGCTAGTCGCCGGTGCACCAGCCCTAAAATGTGATAGCGTAACCGGGCTCCTTGTGCATCGCCTCCTCAATGATTAGCCTTGCTTCTTCTCTTGGTGCATACCTCAACCATGGCGTGAGAAAACGAACGCGTGTGCGTGTAACATTCATCGTTTTTAACTATCCTAGAATGCCTACTGCAAGTGCGGTTGTTAGGTGCCCACTACCAAATAGTGTCTCCTTTTTGCGAGTTGCCTCACGCGTTCGTTAAGCCAAATGCGAATCTACGCAATTGCTCACTTTGTTGAAGCTGTTGCAGTCGATCATGATTAAATATATCAGAGCACTTTTCAATACGTGGGCTCCTACAACACCCACATGTTGCCCAATCTACGTATTGTGAAGCCTTTCGAGATTCTATGTAACAGACACGATATATTACATGCCTTATAAATGCTTCATGATGTTTGTGACATTAAGAGAGTGTTTTCTGTCGAATCAGATCCAGCAAACTGCGTGGCTCTGTGGCAGAACGCCTGCTTGCCGCGCAGAGTGCCTATGTTTGATTAGCACACGAACCAAAGCTTTTTTTAGTTATTTTACTTATATTCTCTTTGATCTTTTGCTGACGGAGAAACTTTTTACCTCAGAACCTACAACGCCGACACCAAAACCGGAATTCCAGGGAAACCAGCTCTTTTAGGTGTCGCGTTATGAGGCATAAACACAGTACGGAAACTGTGTCGCGACTACAGCGATGTGCTAAAGTAAACGCCGCGTTGAAAAAAAGTAAACGCATTTGTGCGTTCGCAGTCATTTGTTTTATTTAATTGACCACGACACTAAACCATCACTTTAGATGTACTGCAACATGCGCGATAGGTGTGCAATACTGTTAGACATAGAAACATTAACAGTTCATGTGAAGTGATGCTGATAGGACTTGGGTTTTACATATGTGTGCACCACTCCGTGAATAAAACTATTATTTTTTTTGCTGACAAATATACAAGACGTAAACATGGGGCAGCTAGCAATTTTATTTAAAAAATGAATTAGAGAGTCTTTTCAGGGTTGCGGGGCTGAATATTTTCATATCTTACTTTTTAATAATAATACTTTTTAAAAAAGTATTTTAATGACTGTGTTTTTGTACAATCCTCAGCGATTTAACCAGAACAGTTTAGGGCTAACTAATGCACATACTTCAGTTCAAACCGCTTAAAGCTCGCGTCATGTAGGGGGGATTTCGACTCGTGTGTGAATGTGAGATCAAGAATCATTTGGAGACCATTTTTTTTGTAATATGACGTGGTTATCTCGAGCTATGGCACACACGAGCCGATGTATTAAAAAATGACGTCATGTTTGTATCAGTGAGTACAGTATATTGTCACGTGCTTGCTCAAGAAAGACGATGGCAGTTGTGCATGTGCCACGAAGGACTACGAAATGGACGAAGAAGAAGAACTAGCTTGCGCGTTCAGAGACAAACCATCCGCAGACAAACGGACTGACGGAGCGTCTCAATAGGACCCTCACAGACATGATCAGCATGTACGTTGACACGGAACATAAAAACTGGGATCAGATATTGCCGTACGTGACCTTTGTTTATAACACCGCTCGACAAGAATCCACTGGAATGACACCGTTCAGTCTGATCTATGGTCGCGAAGTCACGACAACATTGGACGCCATGTTGCCGCATGAGCGTGACGAGATCCATGTAGACGCCGAAGAATTCACTCAGCGTGCCGAAGAAGCCAGACAGCTCGCGCGCGTGCGCATCTGTCATCAGCAGCATCAAGATGCACAACGCTACGACACCTGACACCAGTTTATTAGCTACTCACCAGGCAACAAAGTGTGGGTCTGGATTCCGATACGTCGACGTGGACTGTCTGAGAAACTGCTAAGACGGTACTTTGGTCCATACAGCGTCACGCGACGCTTGAACGACGTGAACTACGAAGTCGTTCCCCGACACTAATTGTAGTTCTAAGCGCCAAAAGCATTTGCCTGAAGTCGTGCACGTCGTGCGTATGAAACCGTATTTATCGAGTTAATTAGCTCCCGGTTACCGTTTTTGTACGACCACTTCATACGCCTGGTAGAGCACCTAAGTTGCGCATCGGGACAATGCTTCTTTCGGAGGGAGGCAAATGTCACGTGCTTGCTCAAGAAAGACGATGACAGTTGTGCATGTGCCACGAAGGACTACGAAATGGACGAAGAAGTCGCTTGCGCGTTCTAATTAAAAAGATCGACCTTCTTCTGGTGTCTCAATCTCTACGGCAAGACCTCTATTTTGACGTCGGGACAATATTATGCTCCTTTGCTCGAAAATATTTGCAAGATACTGAAGAGACATAATAAAAAAAAATGTATACATCACTTCTGATTAGACGCTACAATTTAGTTCCAAAGTCGTTTAGGGCAACATGATCTATATAATAAACTATTTGTATACTATGATGCCACCTCGTCTTTACATAATGCATAAAATGTTGTGCATAAACACATAAAAGAGTGTTGTTTAGCTTGCATGGTCCCAAATGCCGGAAGTAGCCGAGTAAAGGCCACAATGTGACAATGTCTGGACGTGGTGCTTTGGCTTTGCCACAGTTACACTCTTATAAAGGTGGTGCACACTTTACAAAAACTTGTTGCTGGTTTTGGGTTTACTGCAGTAGCACTTTTATTATTAAGTTACTTCAATACAGTAACCTTATCAATTCAAGTTTGGACATCGTGCCTGGTTAAAGAAAAACTGTCAGGTTCTTGTACAGTGAAATGGGAACACGGCTGGTAAGGATGGAGGTGATCAGTCATCTTTGTGGTGCTAGCGCCTGACTTCTGATCATTATTCAGAGATTATAAGATTGCAACCGTACCACCTGG